CAGGTCCCTTCTGACCCTAGAAACTATGAAACTATAAGGTGACGTGTGGAATTACCCTGCAATGTGCACATTTGTGGTTCCTTGATTCCCAAAGTGTTTTGGATACCTGTTATCATAAAATCCTAACATTAAAGCTTTTTTCTTATTTTAAATTGGATGTAACTAACTTATAAATTGACAACATAACAGATCCTGAGATGGGATGAAAGGACTGAGTGTGCATTAGAAGTTACTGGGAAACCAAACTTATAAGGTGTCTTTAAGTAATGTCACACATGTTTTTTTAATATTTTCCAGGCACAAGAGTTGATATTGCTCTGTCTGCATAAAAGGCTATCTAATTGCTTCTGTTGTTCATCCATGTCTCCTCTTTTGCAGATGAACAGGAAACAGTTTGATCTGCAATCTAGGTCACATATTAAACTAACCTGAATAAAATTTATGGCACTTGCAGTGTTTGCCAGTCTACAGACATGTCTGACACCTACGTAGTCAATATGTTTCCAGGTACTTGCAACGATTTACTGCAGTTTGCTTGCCTATCATTAAAAGTGATGACAAGATAACCCTAGCCTGTATAACATATAAAACCATATTTTGTAAGGGCTGAGCTTAGATGAAATCCAGCAGACTAGATAAAATTTACAAGCAAAAATAAAATTGATTTGTTAATAGTTTATTTCAATGCCTCTTAAATAGATAAATGATGATTTCTTATTTGAACAGTATTATTTGAAAGATATGACGCATCTGAAGCTAAAATGCAGAAGGGAGAAATAATAAAAGAATTCAAGCACATTATATGTGTCTAGGAAAAATAAATAGGGCAAAATTTTAAACAGAAAATCTAACAACAACTGAGTTGACTCGTCTACAGTAGAAGGTAATAACAGGAAGAAGTTCAAATAAAATTATTGTGAGGAGTTAACATAAAGAGAACAGAGTTTAAAATATTGTAGAGATGATTCACATCTCCATTACTGCAGTTTCATACTCATTTAAAAATGCAGTAATTCAGTGATAGATAGGGCCTATCCATAAAAACAGGTTATTCTACTAAGCAAAAATACCACATGGTAGGATGACTTGAAATTCACATACACATAGTGTTCTAGGAAAGAAAATACATTTTGTTCTTGGTTCTCATAGATAAACTTCAACAAAGCAATGACCAAAAGGCCTTTATGAGAATTAAAATTAGCATCCTACAGTAGGCTTCCAAGGCAAAATATTCTGTTCCCATTGTTTTTGTGTTGCTTGTTCCATTCCTATCAGATATAGTTTAATTGATTCTGTTTACAGAATTATTCACTGAGAGTTTGAGCTATTTGAAGTTTTAGCAAATGTTACAGAAGCTCTATGGAAAGAAATTTTGAACCTGACTTTGCATGGCATGAGTTTACCATGAGCATTCCCACAGGAAGCTTGAGTCCAGATCCACAAAAAATTTTCAGTGTGTTGATATTTAGTATTGCCACATCAAAGTTTCAAGAACTAATTACTCAGTTCTTGAATTCCTTGTATAATCCCTGGGGAAAGGCAGGTCCTAGGAATGGGATTCACAACAGCTAGAATATTGAGGGCCATGCCTAAACCAGCTAATGGACATCTCCATGTGACTTGGACTAGAACACTAACGTGAGCCTGAGATTCAGTCCAAAATCCTCTCCTGCAATTAGGTGCCTGTGTAGTCCTTTCAGGATTTTTCCCTAGTGAAGGAGGGGGGAAATGTGACAGCTGTAATAAGTATCTAGGTTGAGAGGAAAAACCTTCACTTCCACCTCCGAGGACAGTGCCCTTTTTACCAGGCTGGAGCCAAGTCTGGAATGGGGGGGTAGGTACTTTATATGATTTAGGGCTAAAGTGGCCTACTTTGAATTCCCAACAGCCTTAGGCATGAAATAGGTGACAAGAAATTCAGCTCATTGGGATGACTTCTCTGGACATGCACAATAGGAGAACTTTAGGTACAAAAAATATTTTTTCTGGCAAAGGTATATGCAGTTAAGTAGTTAGGTGATTGGTATTTTGGATCACTTTATTCGATTAGATACCTAAAGTCCACCTAAGTCCCACTTCAGCGCTAGGGACAGAAGTTAAAACCTGTTCATTAGAAACTGGTTTAAACCTGTTCATCAGAAACTGGTTTAAACCTGTAACAGAACATTAGTTCAGTGCACATAAAGCAGTTTTAAAATGGCTGAAACTGGTTTAAGTTAAACCCAGTTGGATGTAGTATCAGACTTAACTGATTTGGGTTGAACTGGTTTATGCAACTTCTGTCCCAGACCCCTTCCTGGTTCAAGTTAAATTAGAGTCCCCCAGCATCCCAGCATGCTTTCCAGCCCTGGGCTGGACTGTGCTGTCTGCTCCAGCAGAGAAGGTTAAGCAGGCGGAAAGGGGAGAGAGAGAGAGAGAGACAAAGAGAGGCAGGGACTGCCCCCCCCCATCCCTGCAAGGCAAACCCCAACTGGAGTCTGGGGCCAGGGAGAGGGGGTTAAACTCCAGTTTCCCTAAGTACAGAGCTATCCTGCCCTGCTAAACTTACTGAAAATTACTGCTCACTGTGACTGTGGGCTACAAATCCCAGAGGCATCTGGAAGCAGAAAGAAGTGATGAGCAACCATGCAGAGTCCTGATTTTGTGATGCTGGACAAATCCCAGAAACCTTGGGGACAGCAGGAAAAGAAAGTGCCAAAGAGCCATGCTGTAGTGCCCCCCAGCTTCTGGCCTGGGCCACTGCAGGCATGTGGCTACATTTTCTGAATCAGTGGTCAATGTGTGTCCAGTTATTTCTCAGTTTAATCTTTTCAGTTTTTGCAGGTTAGTCTAAACCACATTGATTCAGCCTCAGGCTTTTGACTGTCTGTACCTAGTCCAGGTGCCTAAGTCCTTTTTTTGTACCTTACCGGTGATTTCAACTAAGCTGTAGGCCACGTTATCCACTTTTGGAAAAAGCTGTAATTCACAAGAGCAGACAATATGACCTACCTCTCCATGACTATAAACTTTAGTAGATTTTGATTTTTACCTGTTGATAGAATGTGATCTTATGGTGCAAATCCTACTCTGTTTCTAAATGTTCCTTACTCAGCTTTTAGACATCTAAATCACTATGATGCTATTCCACCTTGCACACTAACCAAAGCATTAAAAAGTAAAAATTTATATGAATCTCCATTTTGGAAGGGTCCAAATGCTCAGCACCAAGACTAGTAAAAAACACACTTAACTCATCATGGTATACAGGGATCCCAGGATCAGACTGTATCAGCCCAATCCTGGGTTTCCTGTGTGCCAGAATGAATGAAAACCACCTGTGCTTACCACCTGGGCCACACATGTGAGTTTACCAGTGTCCCTGTGCATCAAGATAAGTAAAGTGTACCACCAAGCAGACATGGTTTTTATTCATCCCAGTATATGGAGACCTTGGGATTATAATGCAACATGCATAAAAAAACCTGTGTATGCCATCCAGATTTTGATAATCCAGTTTTAGCGACTCACTTGTGGTTTTGACTGTTGGCAGGGGCTGGGGAGTGCACTGGGTCTGAGTCCAGACCCCAAGTCAGTCCCAGTACCCAGCTGAAAATCAGCTGATTGTTGGCATGTGGCTTTCAACTTGTTGGTTCAGGGAAGACTGGGATGCTAATACAGGGTTCCCCCTGCACTGGCAAGTAAGGTGTGATTGGGATTTAGTTCCCGATTCCAAAATAATATGTCTTGCCATGCATGTGTGGCATGACAGGAGGTGTAACTGTTGGGACCATGGATCAGATCCCATCACCTTAAACATCTATTAGGTGGCCTGAGAATACTGACTGGCTAGTCATCATGAATAGCAAGTATCACACAAAGAATTATTGGCAGAAATTTGATAAATGGCTTTGTCAGATATTCCAAAATTTAATTTATGTAAAGAGGGGAAAAATTTCCTTGAAGAAAGCGTAAGTTTTGAAGAGCTAAGAGAGTAATTCAATTGGAATGAATTGCTAAGGCATAAATTCATTAAAACCTTGGTGCTAAAAATATAGACATTTTCGTTAAATACTCTTCCCAAATATATTTCTATTAGGTTTCCCAATGCACTTCCAAATGTTTGATTTTATTTCTTTCAACACAGGCTGCTACTAGCATGCACAAAGAATGAATTTTTCAGTAAGCAGTCCTATTTGGTGTTGAACCATGTCCCCAAAAGTCGGCTGAAGTCTTATCCATTGAACATACTTTAAAGTTTCAGTCTTAACTATGCTCTATGGTGTTTTCTTTACAAGTGTAACATTTTTTACTGATTGGAAACAAGCCAGTGTTTTGGCTCAAGGCTTTCCTTAGGGTGGTGGCATTTATCCAAATGATTACAATACACACCTGCAAAAGGAAGAATAAGTAAAAGTTGCTTTCTTGTACAAACAGCAATGGGAGGATTATGCTTTGAAGATCATCTGTAATAAAACTTATCTTTACTGACAGTAGAACTCTGGGGTTGTTGACCGGATTCTAATTTGTCATCCATTTTGCAGTTCATGCCCCTAAGCTGTAGAAAAAATCTGATTAATGATATTGAGCATATAGTGAGTTTGTTTCTCTTTCCTCTGTCAAGAGACTACATGGCCCCCAACCCCATGGTATCTGAGTCCCTTTCTAACAATTAATATTGAATATGCAGCCATCACCTCTTCAGTGAGAACAAAATTGATTAGTGGGTTAGGAAGAGAAAATGAATGCATGCTTTGAATGATGTGGTATTGGAAAATCACAGCACCAAGTATCACAAGCTAACTGTTTACATATTATGAGCTTTCTTACAGGATTTTACTGTTATCGAAAATTTAGCTGTGGAACAGTCAAACCTTAAAGCCATGGATCTTTTTGCAGTCAATGCATATTGTAGGGAAAATTATTCCTGTTTTAAAAACTGATTGCTTGAATGATCAGTTAGGAGACAAAGTTTAAAGAGTCGTACATGGCAATTCAAATGAATCAAATGCAAAGATGTGTAACTAAATCGATGGTGCTGAACACACATCAACCCAGGTCTTTGGTGAAATACCTTTCCTGGTTCTTTTATAAAGCTGTATATGAAGATGAGACTCCACACAGACAAGATGTTGAGCATTTCTAATGGGCAAACACTGATATCAAAGCAAGCCAGACATGCGTTTCCTTAAAATAATATTATTTAAAGCCCGGAGAAATGGCAACTGACATAAAGACTTTACTGTATTCAATCTAGGGAGTTCCTATTAATTTCACTTACGGAAAGCTTGATGAGCCAATGGTCTAATAATTGGTAATATTTTATTCCCCACTTCCCAGTTGAAGAAAGGGAGGAAAAACTGTAGATAAACAATCAGTGTTACTATGTTTCATTACATGAATCAAGGGGTAAAAAAATCTAGTCTAATTTTCTCCCAAATAACTATACAAATAAATGCTCCAAAACACAAAGTACTCAAGTAAACATTGAACATAGTGCAAGATTTTAAAGAAAACTTCAAAAATTAAAAAACTCAATACTATAAAACTCTCATAAAAATAGTGTCACCTCACACACAATGAAAAATTATCTGAAACATGATGAAGGTACTCAGGAGTGTTGATTGTCAAGCGGTGAAATTCTTTAATAAAAATAGGATGCAACAAGAAGCAGTATGAAGCTGACATGTAAGATGAGACTAAAGTTAGGAATTAAGAGAAACATAAACTCTTCCTGCAAGATCTGAAGCCGGATGTACATGTAGAAGGATAGTTTATTACTTAAACAGTATGTACATATTCTAAACATGTAAATAATGAGTAACAGAATATCAAGCTCTATTTACAATTACATTTTTTTACAAAATGTTTTTACAAGGAGCATTTCTCTAAATAACATGACAGAGACAAAAAAAATCTTTCTGTATTACATACATAAATAAATATTGAATTTAAATGATTATTATAGGGACATAATTTCTACAGCCAATTTGGGTAACAGATAAGTATTTCACACTACAATATAATTAAGTAAAAAGGAAAAATTTACATGTAAGATCTGTTAATAACTTTATGAATTGTACCATACTATATATTCAGTAGAGGTAAGACAGCCATTATGTTTCATGCCTAGAACTGAACAATGAGGTTTGGCATGCAAAACCATATATAATCATCAACATCTGCAGGTATTCATTTACATTTTTTAATAAAGATTTTATTTCAGCTACATGCAACAGCTTATTAGCATCTTATTGTCGGTTACAAAGCACAAGTTTGTATAATATTATTTATAGTAACTGGTGTTACAAGTACTGATCCAAAGTGTAGGAATAAACTTGGCATGTAGGGTAAGAAAAAGAATTAATAAATAAATCAGAACTACTTTACATATACACAGGACAAAAATAAATTTTCAGATGGTGTTGTACAAGAAATTTAAAACAGTCTGGACCTTATCCTGTGCTCTTTAAGGCCCTGATTTAGGATGTTTAAGTGCATCCTTATTCAAGAGAGGAGTACAACACAAGCTCCATTTTAAACATGTGCTTATGTCCCATTCATTTCTAGATAGTTAAGCACAAAGATGTTTCTGTCCAGAATAGAAATATTTTCCTCAATCAGGGCCTATATAACCAAAATGCTGACCCTATTCAATCACATATTTTGGATATGAAAGGAATGCAGATTAGGTTGACTTGAGTATTCAGGCCTCATCCTGTTCCAACTAAAGTGAATGATACAACTTCAACTCACGTTGGAGCAGGAACCAACCAGTATTTCTTTAACTTTCTGTATGACCCTGTAAAGCACTGTTGCCTCCTCTTAATTAATGTATCATGTTCTCCACTGCCACGGAATGTGACAAATTGAATGCACTCAGCATCTCAAGGATCAGACCCTTTATTTGTAAAAATGTCTTGTCCCCAAGTGCCATATTTGCACATGATATGCATAATGTATCATGATGCGGTGTTAGCGCAGCCTACATTTTCCTCTAAATTTTAATATATCCTAGTTCTTCTTCTACTTTTTGAAAATCATATACAGTTCCTAGCATGAGAAGAGGAATAGTAGTTGAGGAATGCAGGGCAGCTGGGGTACCAAAACAAAATGTTCTTTCTTAAATTGTCTTTAATATTAAGGAAAAATAATCAAATGCACAAACAAGTTAGCTAAATGTCATAATCTTATAGTTTGTCATGAGGGAAAAAATAGACAAACAAATGTTCATCTAGGATTCAAATGAGAAGTCCACCAGAATCGTACGTAAGTAATACCTAGGTATAAACACAATATATCTAGAACACACATCAATATCTATATTAGACCTGAATTACACAACAAAATTGAAGGAAAGCAGTCAAATACAAATCATATAGTGAATTAAACTCCAGTGCTGAGTACGATGTTAGCATGAATTAAACTAGGGAATTAGGATAATTGTAATATATGCTGCACTATTTTGTAAATGAGGCTTGAGGAATTAGGTACTGGAAGTTGTCAAATCGGTATTGCTAAATTCAAAGATAAGAAAATTACTGGTGTTAAGTATAAATAAGATATGATCCAGTACCCATGTGGTATTGTCTTGATTGATTTTTTAAAAATTGATTCCAGCATCATTAGTTCACAGGAAATATCTGTAGCTAAAAGATGAGTTAAGCAGCTAATTAAGGAACAGATTTATAAAGCACGATCTTCTCATTCCATTCTCTCTTTGTCTGCCTGTATCTCCAAGCTATAAAGGGTTAGAATATTCTGTCCTTATTCAAGCAAAATTTGTTGGCAAAACTATCATTGATATCCCAAGTAGTGGAGGACTGGTCCTATGATAAACAATTTACTATATATTATCACTATACACTATTATCTAACTATGACTATATCATAGGAGAGTAGTATATATATTTTAAAAATGCTACTTTATATTTTGGTAACATTTTGGTAACATTGGCCTGCTATTCTAAGTATGATGATCCAGGAAATACATGAGAGGCAGGAGTTTTGGGGAGTGATGTCTTCTATTGGATCAACTCTATGACTTCTCCAGATTTATTCTAATGAAACCGACAGCAGAATCAGGCTGAAAGGGTTTGGCTGATATTGTTACAGGTGCCTTAAAAATGAGAAGCCCAATCCAATCCAATCCAATCCACCTACATTTCAAAGGGAAGTTAGGTCTTAACTCCATTAGCCACATTTTAAAATTCATTAGAACATATATTCAACCCCTAAGCTCTTTTCTATCCTTACTTATACCCCATGTAATTTAAATGTGAATGTGGTATTACATGCTGGTCTGCCTCAGATTGCATAGACTTGATTTTTTTTCTTGATGTGCACCTAGCTATATTTGGGCTGCATGATTATGTTTCTGTGCAAAGCAAGTCCTTTGGAATGTTGCCCTTCAGCCACTTGAAGCTATCTGCAGCACTTGCTAGAATGGCATTAAACCTTTTTACATTTTGTAACAGTAATACCAACTCATAAGGTAAGTTTTGTCTATCTCCTTTTTTTGGCTGAAAAGTATGAATAGCCCTTTATACTTTGAGGAATAACTTATCAAGGCTAAAGCCTCATAGCCCAAGAAACAGTTTGGCAAATTTCTTGCTCCTTGAGTACATTTATCAAAAAGATACCAAGAAAAGTAGAAAGAGCATGGAAGGGTTGACATCACATCTCTGAGTTACATTTCTTATTTTCCTAAACTTAAAGTTAAAAGTTAAAAACCTTAAATGAGCAAACTAGTTTGAAATTATCAAGAAGCTGTTTGACCTTGATAGCATCAGTTTGGAAAGCATTTCTATGCAGATGTACTGTATAAGAATAACTTCTCCAAATGTGCTGCTCTTGCAATTTCAGATGTAGATGTGTTGTCTTTTTATTTGGTTTCCATCAAAATATACTTGTCACGATGAGCAGAAAATCATTTGCCATTAATATCTGAATTCCCCTAAATTCCTCAGAAAACAGATGAAGTACCAAACCTTTATCTGCAGTTGAGTATGATTTTGTTTCCTTTTTGTTTGGTTGTTTTGTTTGTTGTTATCATTTCATTTTTGTTATGCTTATTTTTTTGTTGCAGAGATTTTTGGGGGATTCCATACAGAGGGTTATTTTTGCTAAAGAAAATTGGAGATGTATTAACTTCAGTGGAAGAGCTAAAGTGAATAATGGAATCTTTTGCAGAGAATGAACAAACAGCAACTATTTGGATGTTAGATGCTGCATCTCACAAGTATTTTATGGGCAGAGTGTATAGAACCAAACGTCCATGCTTTTGATTATATGTCTAACCCATCTCTGTTTATGAATGATGGCTTTCTCTCTGTGTGGCAAATTACGCTAGCCTTTCTACATTGCACAATAGGGCCATCTGCATTTCCTTATGGTTAGAAACAGGGTACCTTCATTCCTACATTTGCAAAATGCATGCAAATAAGCTATTAACCAATGACTTCCAGACACTAGTGCACTGTCACTAGTATTTCTATCACCAGAATACTATGCAGCCAATACAGCCATCCTACCATTCAGCAGATCCATGGTGGGAGTGGATATGCACATCAAGAAGTCAAAAAAGCCGTACTGGTACACCTAATTACCAGGGATCTTGGTGATTATGTGTGTGTGTGTATATATATCTATAGATATATCTATAGATATATATATATGAATATGAGACACCAATATATATGGTGTACATTTCATTTCATTTCAAATGAAACACCAATATCTATCTATCTATCTATCTATCTATCTATCTATCTATCTATCTATCTATCCATTGGTGTTTCATTTTAGTCACAGAAAAATGTAGATTTTGGATTCCTTTTTTTAATCTGAAAATCGGGGATTGTTTTTTTATTAGAGTAAACCAGAATCCCTGCTAATCACATAGTACACATGCCTCAGAATCGCCATTTCCAAAAATGTGAATGTTAACTGTTTGATTTATAATCACAGAAAATGCAATATTCCCAACAAATAGACAAACAGGAGGGTGATGGCAGGGGGAGAGGAATTTTGATTCGCAACAAACATTTATCCAGGTTCTATGGGAAGTCAGTGGCAGTAAACTACCACTTGAGCTTTTAAAATATCTCAGTGGTTAGTGAATGTTCTTGCTAGCCAGCTTCATGGTATCTTGTATTAACATACTGATATTTGATTATTAAAATATATCAATTACTACAATCTCTATATTTGCTTGCATTTACTAGGGTAAGAGAAGACTTCAATGCTGGCAGATTGGAAATGTCTATTATTGCTGCTTATATAGTTTGCATTTATTCCCAGTAAATATAGATAATTTTTCTTAGCAAACTATATTGAAGAAATATAGTAGGGGCTTACCTGGTATACACTGGCATAGTTTCATTGAATTCAAATGAACAATGGTGATTCACATCAGCTGAGAATCTAGCACCCAGGTGTTCAAAGGTGTGTGTGTGTGCATGTGTGTGAGCACACATATACATGTATATAAATATACACATACGAAAATGTCTCAAACATTGTTCCTTAAGATTAGTAAAATCTACTTTAAATATAGGGAACAAATAATATATATATTACCATGAACACTTTTGATTTCTCAAATGTGCTGAATGGAATGCAATCTTCTGTTAGTGAAATATTGGTGATATTTTCATGTATATTTCACCCTGCCATTGGTACATATACAATTCTTCATGCCTAAACTATGTAAAAATAGCTACAGATCATATAAGATGGGAACTTCCAATGAAAAAGAATGGATTCATTGCTGTACAGATGTGCATTCTTCTGGTCTTCTTCTGTGAACTCAGTTTCTTTCTGATGTTTGTTAAATCATCTGTAAAAGTCTAGTATTTTTCAGGAGGTGGTCTGTAGTGATGTGGATGGTGTTGTTTTAGATGAGGCCCTAAACAACAAATAGAGAAGTATTATTCAACATTTTTAACCTGATATAGATGATATGAAGAGGCTGAAGAGGCTATAAGTTATGAATAGTTTTCAAAACCTGATTCATGAAAAAATGTAAAGTGGGGTGCACAAAATACAGCCTGCAGCTGCTCTTCTGAAAGAGAATTGTATCCAGCCCGTGGCTGCCCTGGCTTTAGGTGCTTCTCACCCTTCTCCCTTCCCGTTCTGTAGCTGGCTACAGCGGCAGCAGCCTTGCCCCTCCCCAGCCAAGCCCACCCTGTCCCACCTCCCAGTGTAAGCTCCAAGGCAGGGAGTGTGATCTCCTGGTTAGGTTTCTGCCCAGTGAGGTTGTCTGTATGCAGCTCCAACTCTGCTGCCATATGCAGACCAGACAGCCCAGCCTCTGGCAAGTCGAAGTTCAGGTAAGGCTTTTCCCACTGGTGGAGGAGGAGGTACAGGGGAAGAAGAACAGGAGCCATAAGTTATCTGGGCCCTGCTGGGCCCAGGCCTAGTAGGGACACAAACACCACTAACATAGTGCCATGCTGTGTTCCTGCATGCCACTTTGGGTTATGTGGGTACAGCTGGTGCAACTCCTGTCCATCCTGGCCACATGCCAGGAACTCGAGGGGGCCATAGGAAGAAGGGGCCCAGGAGCCACAGGTTATCTGGGCCCCTCCTTCTTCCTACACCCTTTTCCCTGCCCTGAGTCCCCAGCACACAGCCAGGACAGTGTTCCTGTGCATCTGATGACCTGTAATGAAGGATGTGGGAGGAGTGCTGACCTGGCCCACAACAGCTCGCCAAAACTCCCCAAATGCCCCCTGGCCCAAGTAATTGCCCACCCTGGCTGTAGAGAAATCTGCCCATGCCAACAGCAATGCACTTGCAGTCTTGATGAATTCGGTGTGATGACTCAAGAGTGAAGGGACCCAAGCAGGTGAATGAAAGAGTATTTTTTCCTTTGTTGGAGTTTTCCTAAGATTAAGTAGTGCTATTCCAATGGTTAGAAAAAAATCCTAGAAAATGGCATTTTGTTGTAGCCTGACCTCACTGATTCAAGCTGCACACTGCTGATAATTTAGGTAGTTATTTGTGTCTATTGAAAAACATAATTTAGTGTTTAGTTGTAATCTGCAATCAATAATTTTCAACATCAACTAAAATAGCATGCAATAGGCACACTCTTTATATTAGTATACCAACTTAAAATTAGTGGTAGACTAATTTCATCTGGCAATAGTACCAAGATCTAATTCCAGCACCTTTGTAAAGTATTTCTTTTCTTAGGAATCTCTAAACATAATCAAATTGAGTATCTACTCCTGAGTTGGGGGAACTAATGGGAACCAGTAACTCAGGGAACTACTAAAAAATTCAGAATCTTTTTATCTTTGGAACCTTTGGATAAAGGGTTTTTGTTTGTTTGTTTCTTTCTTTTTTCCCATTTGATTACCAGTGGGTAGGGTCACATAGTCCCCTGAATGAAGAAGACTGAACTTTGTGGTATTCTGCTATGGGAGATATGGAACAGAGGCTTTGAATTCTGTGACATCAATCAGCCTTCCCTTAATGAATGGAAGCTCTCGGGAGCTACAAGGAATTCTAGATGGAGTAGGTCATGGCCTACTGTCTTCTCTTCATTAACTACCAACCCACCGTTAATTTCCCACCTAAATTAATGCTTCTGAGCAGGGATCCTTGTTTTCTCTGATAATCCTCCCCACCCCGCAAATTTTCAGGTTAAAAAAAGTAACCCCCTGGGAGGGAGACAGCAGGCACTGCAAGCTGGGGTTGGGTTTAAACTTTAAGAAACCCTGTGCTCTCCCTCCAACCTGCTTCTAATTACTTAACTGGCAAGTCATTAGGCATCCCACTGTTTTCCTCTTTCACCTCATAGCCTACAGGTACTAATACCTTTTCCCTCTCCCATTCCCTCTTCTCCTTCTTCCTCCCTCCCCTCCTGCCTGCCCTATTGCCTTCCTGTACCTGAAGCACCAGGCCACTTCCCTTCCCACCAGACTGCGCCCTGCACTAAATGTTGTTAACTGGTAATGCATTACTAGTGTAAATATACTTATCATTTAAGTGTTTAAACATTTAAGATTTCACATCCCTACTCTGCTACCAGTAAAGGAGATTTGTTTGTTCTTTAACAGAGCCAATATCTGTGTAATAGATTATTAGATTTTGTACCAGAATGTTTATCACTGTCTCTTGATTCACTGATTGTGACTCTGATTTTTAAACCATTATTACATCTCACCCAAAGATATTGCACAATATTGCAATATCTCCTTTAGGATGAGAAGGAAGCATTAGAGATTATGGCAACCAATGATAGATTGGATGCAAAAAGAGGTTATAAGAAGAATCATCATCATTCAAGCTCTGAATATGCTGAAGCATGGATCCAGCCTGAACAGCTGTCATTTGGCCCATGGGGTCAGATCCAGAGCCATGTCATCTGGGACAGGGAATTTGCCAGCGGAACGAGCAGTGGTTGCTGCAATTAATATTGCCACTGCCAAATTTCTAGCCATTCCAAGTGACCTGTGGACCAGCTTCAAGCTCCAGCTATAGCCTATGGGGAGCCCCACACTACTTATCCAGACTACAAGACCCCTGCTCTAAAATACTGAGTTCACTTACCCTTATATACAATGGGAGAATGCAATGATAATTATGCAGTAAATATACAATATTTTTTTTGGAGGATCTGGTGGTTCCTCCAAAACCTATGGCTGTTGGACTTCCTGTACCCAATCTCATCTAAAATCAAAACATAACAGTTCTGGATGTATGAAGTCCCTGGGAATTATGGGTATCATAGGCATATGCCACACAGACTGGTCAAAAACCTGGCAAAAAGTAGACTATAGAAACTGAACACATGAAAAGGCTTAATTTGATCCCTTCATTCCTGCTTTATGGAGGACTGCAGTTTAAAAACTATTGAGTTTCTAACAGTATGTCCCATTTTAAGCACAAGGAGTATCACTGGATTCAATACAATCATTAATCCCAGAACAAACTATTTAGGTGTAGAGGGCAAGGGTGCTAAAAACTCAATTACTTTCTTTTGATCCCTGTGGTAGAAAATGTTTTCAATATTTTTCCCTGCACATATCAAGCACATTACTGTAAGCTTACAGTACTTACTATGGGATGAAAATGGTGGCAAGTCAGGCGTTCGGAATGATTTTATTGTAGCTGGTCCCTCCCCACCTGTTGTTAGTACCTGCACTTCTAATCGGTAAAGCATCGATGGCCTCAGATTGGACACTGTCAGCACATAATGATCCTAAAATATATATGAATAAAACAAATCTTATGGCTGCTAAAATTAATACACATGGTTGCTCCATTTGGAAGTTATGCGTTTAGTACATGTTATAATTCCTATAAATATGCATCTGTTTGAAAAATTAAGTAACACCCACAGTTGAGTTTCCTAAAAGTTTAGGAATGCGTACATTCATTATTCAGCTCACTGCTTTGTTTTAGGCTGTACCTAAATGGTTGACATCATTATTTAACAGAACAAGAATCTGAAACACAGTCAGTTGTCAGTTTTCACTCACAGGATTTTGTATTTTTTCCTTGTGCTTTATAATACAATTTCCCCCATAGTTTTTAAGATGTCAGTTGTACTTTTAGTGATGCCAGTGCCTTATGAATCTAAATTCAGTTCTGTAGCCCAGGTCTGTCCAACTCATGGCCTCTGAGGGGTTAATTTGCAGCCCACAAGCTCTCACCCAGTTGCTACTACCCCCCTCCCCAACTGCTGCTGTTACTACTGGGTTTCTGGGCTCCTAGCTTCCCAACTTCCACTTCTTATCCCTGCCCCTGCCACAGCCCGTGAGGGCCAAGGGAGTCCATACAGCCTGTGCAACTGGGGTGTCCATGAGGTTGAGAAGGCCTCTACAGCATGTAGTCGGTGGGGCATGTGGGCATCAGCAACTAAAAAATTGAACAGCACTGTTCTGATTAGTTCCCCAAAATTAGTATCTATCATTAATGTTGGTTATTGGTAGGTTTTATTTATTTTGCAGCTAGCAAGTCTACCACATGCCTCACAAAATATTTTACAGAAGCTGAGGTCTGTCTTGATTTGTGAACTAATGCCAATTTTGGATCTAGAAGCAGTGCTATAGCTGATACGAATTAATGCGTTTCCTTTGACTTCAGTAGAACTGTACCAAGTTAAACCAACTGAGACTCTAGTCCTGATTTTTATTCCCTTTTTAAAATGATGGAGGGGGAAGGTGGGTATTGGTTCAAATTAATTCAGATTGCTTTCATTTCAACACTTGTATTTTCTGTGGTCATTTACACCTCTGCAAGACAAATTCAGCATAGGTGTAGATTACGTGTTATATAAGAATGACTGTGACAGATTAGTGACTAATTACCACAGAAGGAGCAAAATGGCAAAGAATCGAATCCTTGGTTCAGCTTTTCCCAAGTGCATTAGGACCTGAGAAGTACCCTACAGACCAGTGCAGTAGGACTGCAGTATGAACAGCATTAAACAGTGCACAAATGTATACACAATGCACACTTGGCCGTATTAAAACTTGCCAGAAAATTATACAGCAATTCCTTCAAACAGGCACTGTCCATAGCCCATAGTGTGCAGAGGCCATTTGGGGTGGGTGTTGGGGGGACCCAAAAAAACAGCGCTTTCCAAATAACTAACTTTTTACTTTGGCAGCCAAACTAAAAAATGGTGGGAGGAATAAGGCTCTTAATGCCTCCTGCCAGAGCTGTTCTACTTTATATATTATACTTATATATTATCAATAGCCAAAGGGAAAAAAGAGACTGTGCAACTATAGTTTTTATCTCCTCCTCTGTCTTGTTCACCTAGCCCATACTACTGGGAAAATTTGACCTGGGTTCATAGGTAATGTAGTATATAGCTCATTAGTAAACAAAACACATTTGCATTTTGGTTGTGGGGGAGCAAATATTAGACTGTGTCCCACCAGTTTGAAACCAGTCTGTGTATGCTTAACTTTTGTTATGTTTCAGGTATAGACCAAATTTGTATCCCAAACTTCTGGCTGTTAGAGGTATAGACTGGTTTCCGATTACTTATACACATAAAGTGTAATATCTGTACCTGGCTGTAGTGAAAGCTTGTTGAGCCCAAGATATATCAAACAAATCGTTTCAGACTCAATGAGCTGGCATTTTCTAACAGAAGAAATAAATCAGAAAATTTCTGACCAGTTCTGTTTCAGATGCAGGTGCCCCAATCTATCTCAATGAAGTTAATGAACAGACTCCAAGGCTGCATCCACATGAGCGTGGACCTTGCACCACCGCTACTTGTTCCTAGGGAATGCCTGTACCACGTGCTCTGGCGTGACAAGTTATCTGAACATACACTTCGGTGTGGGGCAAATCGACCCTGCCCTCCTCCTCCTGGATCTTCAGCCCCGGGCCAGAACCTGTTCTGGGCCCAGCAGTATACAAAGCTGCCCTGGAACACAGCTCAGGGTTACTTGCCCTCAGGAGCTTCTGAGGCCCAGCCACTTGGTACCAAGGGACACTAGCCTCTTGTGCCAGCTGGACTGCTAAAGCAGTCCTAACCTAGAGTGGCCCCTACACCTGCTACCCACTGGAGCAGTCTAGCAGTGGGGGCTGCTGCCTGGCTGTGACCTACTGCCACCTGTGACAGCATTCACTCCCTTGGACTTGAGGCCCTATGGTTGCATGCCTGCCAGACCCATATAAGGATGGCATGGCCACCGGGGCTATGGTATGGTCACTGCAGGAGAGCCTTCTGCACCTCTGGGCCAGCTGTCAGTGGGCCATGGCTGCACAGTTGGCCTTTGGGCAGCACTGCTGTCATGTCTTCTAGTGCCCTCACTCTGTCATCTGGGCACCTATTGCCTGGAAAATGTGCTCATTGAGGTGGTACACTTTGAACAGTTGAAGTGTGTCTTCTTGGCCCCAAATGGCCAGGAGATCAGCCACCTTGTCTGCCCTACAGCTGAATCCTTGGTGCTGGCTCTGGGCAGTTTCCTCTGCCCAGATCTCACCACTTGCCTCAGCAGCAGGGATCCTGCTGTTCCCTGTTTAAGAACTGCAAATTCTCTGATAAATGCCCCAAATGCTATCATTTAAATACCCCAAATCTGTGTTCTTCCATGATTAAAATGAAATGCCACTATATAGAAAGAGATTAGTTGGCCGATGTGTTATTGATATATTTACAATTATAAAGCAATTTGGAAGCCTACCGATGTCTCTATCATCATAATAAAATGAATTCTAAGTATCTATACACTTTGGCATTTGATTTTGGTTTTTTTCATAGAAGAATCAGATCTGCCCTTGCCCCCTTGGCTCACCAGGATGTTGGGCATTGAGCAGCACAGGATGCAAGTGCCCTGGCCCTTTCCCCTCACTTCCAACCCACAGCCCTTCTAGAGCCCCTCACTAGCAGCCCCTGCCTGCCCCTCACTAGCTTTTTCCTGGCAGCAGTTCTGTCCCAGCACTAGGACATGAGTCCAGCTGCAGTTGCCCCACCAGCTATTTTGTGGTTTTGAGCAGTGCCAGCCCTTACTGTTTTGCTCCCTGTGCCTGTACCCAGGCCCCAGAGATTCTCATACCGTTCCTTGGAAGCCCTTGACTGGGACTCAGGGATTAGCCTGGGCAAGCCCCTTCACTTCTAAGCCAGCCACCCCCTGTGCGGGCTGCTTTAGGGGATGGGGGGGGGCGCTCTAAGCCTGGCTCTGGCAGCCGCTCCTACCTGGAGTGCTCCCCCATCCCCAACCTCCATTTATCTCTCATAGACACACACTCTGTGTGGAATTGGAGAGAGCCCTTATGCTTCTTTCCACCACTAGCATATTGTCAATCAGTATTGGCCACTGCTTTTGTTCCCCCCACTGGAATTCTGACTTCTGGAGAAACTGTCAGTGGTACAGTATTGA